ACTAATAATAATTGAAAATAGACCCTGTTGTAAAATTCAACTAACCATTGCCTTTTACTCCTCAAAAATGAGTTTGGACATTGTCAGGTATGAGGCCACCATTTGTGTATGGTTTTAAGAAGGCTGGAGTTAGGGCTGCTCAAATGCATTATTGGCCAAGTTAACTAAGATGACAGTAACTTTTATGTTCTAGCAGTTAGTCAAATGCCATTTTAGTCCTCTTCAGCCTGGGTTAGTTCCCAGGAGAAATTGAAAGTGCTTAATTTTGCTAACCTCTCTTGTTTGATAACAGCTTTACGGAAAGTGGGCAGAATGGCAGCCCAGGATGGGAAATGAGTCAGCAAACTCCAGAGAGAACAACTTGAGTCTTAAATGTTGGGCAATTTGATGGAGGCTGGTTTGACTTTTTATACTCTTAGTGCCAATGCCTCTTAACTGTGAGCCAGTATTACTTGTTTGAATACGTCATTCTTTCAGTAGAGTATTGATAACCCTTCTCTTGTCTGTTTTTGGGGAGGGTTACCAAAGAGGGCTTGCAAGTCGTGCAGTATAATTATGAAAGATGGCACTTTTTAGCTATGGAAAAAGTGTGCACCAACAAGCATTAGTAGGCCCTGACTTCTTGCCAGGTGAATGTGTCTGCCTTTTTCCGCTCAGGTCTGAGGACCCTTGGCCATTTAATGAGCCCAGGGATGGACTGCAGTTACTGATAAAGTTTAGGTTGTCTTTACTTTCTTTTTCACCATAACTGATTTGCTCCCATCGTAGATTCTATGCCAGATAACCATCAGCTTCCAGGAATTTAGAACCTTGAAAGGTCTGGGTGTGGTACAGTGGGACAGGTACAGGCTCCAGGGTCAGATGGATTTGGATTCGAATCCAGGTTATTTACCCCTGCATGACCTTAATCAAGTAACTCAACTTCTGAACCATGGTGTCACTTCCTCTGCCACCCAGGCCAGCTTGGAGGCTGAAGTTCACCCCTGGTTTTAGGCTTTTGCCATTGTTAGTGAAGAATTTCTTACTTGAGGTTTCCATGAGCAGCTTCCTTATTGCTGTAGAAAGCTGCTACAGAGTTAGACAGACTGAAACCTGGATTTTAATTTCTTGACCTGAGCCTGGGTTTTTTCATCCAGAAATTTGGTTTATACTGATGACAAGTTTATTGAGGGTTAATGAGATACTTACTGACAAAGTGACCATCATTTAACAGAAGTTAGAGTCTCATCTGTTAAACACATCTATGCATTTGAGCCTTCGGTCAACTAAATCCTCCCACATTTGCTTCTGTCTTTCCATTGTTTTGTTACCATAATAATTCATACATCAGTGAGAGTCTGAATTATGTTCTGGGAACAAGGAGATAAAGATCTGTTTCTGGGCTTCATTTTTCAAAAAAGAAATATGAAGAATAGAAGATGAATAAATCTATAGTGAAAACTTGCTTCCTTTGTATTAGCAATGGTGGTAGCCTCATTTAGAGAAGTTGGAGGCATTTAAACTCTTCTTCAGAATTTCTAGAGACACAAGATACAATTCAGAAACCACTGATATTTTGAGAACATAAAAAATATTTCTTCATGGCTAAAACACCAGGGAAAAACCTGAAAGACATGGAAAAAAGTCATCAAAATTGTTTTCCTGAAAATGTAAAGAATTCTACTTAAATTATTGAAAACATAATGATTTTTTTTTAAATAAAGGCAAAAGAGTTGAACAGGAAATGAACAGAAGAGAATTCAAAAGGTTGGTTGGTTTTTAGAATCTAACCTTACACAAATGAAAGAAAAAACGAGTGAAAAAATAAGATACCATTTTGACCTAGGAAATGGCAAACAGTAATTCCAAATCACAAGGGACATGAACTTAGTGAAAACCACCTGTAGGTTTGTGTGGAAATTGCTTAGAACCTTGAGAAAGTGAATTTGGCAGTTTTCTCCAAACATTCATTCTGAGAATCACTGATTCAAACCCATATTTCGGGGTTTCTATAAAACAATTACAGCCTGTCATGGTTATTTTGGGAAGTGGGGAAGAAATGTTTGCTTTTCATCTTTCCCACTTCTGTACTTCAGTATTGTTTGAACTTGTAAAAAAAAAAAAGTTTATATTTTATTTATTTTTTAAAAGTTGCAGCTGTTCTCCAGACATAACAACATGTTCAGCATAAAAAAAAAAGTACCGAAAAAAAAATGTGAAAAATGATGTAAAAATAAACTTTTTAATAAAAAAAAAAAAAAAAAAGTACCTTACCTGATGGTGTCATATGTAGTTGGCACTTAAATATTTTGTTTACCAAGTAAGCCATTATTGAGTAAAACACCTTCTCAGATCTCAACTATAATCATTCAGCAAGATGGAAAAAAGTGATCACATGTATACAACTAACAAAATTGTTCCTGGGCCTTACCAGACCCTCTGCTACGAGGCTGTGTGCTTTCATTTCTTGACTGCTTGTTGTGTGCATATTCACCTTCTGTTCTGCACTTCACCCAGACTTAGGCCCCCTGGGAGAAGTCAGTGTGAGCTGTGCTTGACAGATGAGGTGACATGCCCAGGGAGAGCTGCACAGGCAGGAAAGCAGCAAGTCAGAGTCAAACCACCCTTGTCTTGATCATTCTCTCCTGCATGGTGGAGGTGGGCACCAGGAGAAGGGATTCACTGTTCTGAGCGGTCACCGTAGGATTTAGCTCCAGGACCCTGTGCTGAGTCTGTCTCAGATTTTGGACTCTGGAAGGAATATAGCCCTTGGCTGTGGAGCTGTGGTCATGTATATTTGTGGATGGTGTGCTGAGGAGGAATGTCTATTCTGGCAGATCTGAAAGGAAAGCAAGGGATGGCATTCCTTCCTAGGAATGGAATCATCAACAGTACATTATTATTTGTGGTTTCCCTTCAGCCATCAGAAAATAAGCCAAACCACCATTCATGATGGAACTGTACCCCTCAATGAGTTCAGCTGGAGTAGCCTTGGATCCTGACCAACCAGGGCCAGCCTTAGCTGCCTCAGTTGCCTGTGGCTGCCGATTCAGCCGATTGCATGTATCCTGCGCTTCAGAGTGCCGATGTGGCCACTTTATCTTGACTTTTCCTTTTCATTCCTCATGGCAGCTACAACATAGTTTTCCCTACAATCTGGCTGAGCTCCCATTTACAGAGGAAGCTCAGAACCTTTGTGCTTGGAATAGCTGCCCGTGGCCACGAGGAGGGCAGAGTCACCCGAGAGGGGCCTGAGGTCACTCTGGCCCTCTAACAACTGCAATTAGTGGAGGGGGCACTCCACATACCAGGGAGGGAATGGAACATTAGTGTCTCAGAGGAGGTATTCCAAAGTCACTGGAGCAGATTCAGTGGCTGTTTTGGGACAGGTTTCTTCAGTCTCCCCTAGCCTGTCAGTCTGCACTCCAGCTAACACTGGGCCTGGAAACCTCAAGGAGGGCGTCAGGTAGTGTCTGCCAAGCGCCTGGATGGAAAGTTTCTAGCACTTATTGAACATGTCCTAAGTTCTTGGCTCTGTGCTCGGTGCTTGAGTACGTCATTTTCTTTCTTCCCTCATGACAACCCTGTGAGGGACTGTGTTCCCAGGCCTGAGGCTCAGAAACTTGCTACAGCCACAGTGTGACCAGTGGCCGCCCAAAGGTCACATGGGCCTCAGGCCAGTCTCCATGTATCCAACCACCAAGTAGAGGTGAGTCCTACTCTACCTAGGACTCACCTCTACTTGGTGGTTGGGTATTCTCAAGTCGCCACCCTGGACTGTAGGGGCTGTGGGTGATACCCTCAGGCAACGGGGGAAGTATGGCTTTTCTCAGGAATAAAGAGCTAGAGCTACAGAGGACAGAATAAGCCCTTGCTGGTCTGTTTAGTCAGGGTATTCCTCTGACCCTCCTATCCATTCTGCTTTCTTTCAGCATCAATTTCCCATTGGGAAATGGGCTGAGTGTTGACAAACATGCAGTTAAATGAATCCCCAAGGAAATGGCCCTGTGTCTTAGAGAAGATTCAAAGCAGGGCAGTGAAAGTCTGATGGAGCCATTACTGGTTGAGGGAGCTGCCAAGGGGGGTGAGCTCACCTCCTCCTCTGCCCTGGTCTGTGCTGTTAGGCCCTAACCCTGGCTCTGGTCTGTGTGCCCCTTCAGCACTTTCATTCTGTGCCATACAATGGGTCATGTCCCTGTAGCCAGCTATATTGTTATCTAGAATCTGGACGTTTCCTGTCTGCACTGCTGTTTCCTGGAGGGAAAGGCCTTCCTTGTGTACCTTAGTGGTGACACCTGAAGTTCTTGACCTGATGTGGAATCTTGCTCTTTACCCCGCTCTGCCCCCAGCTCTGTGACTTATCTGAATGGAACAGTTGAGTGGAATAGCTGACTGTTGTATTATAAATCTTGAGGTCTGCATTCTCTCACATTTGAATAAGCCTTGGGCCTTTTACAGGGACCTGCTTGGCTTATTTCTTAGGACTCTTAATGTAGAGCCCATTGGACTCCATTCCACTCCACCACATGAGCCTCTCTCATCATTCTGTAGAACATTGTTATCGTCATATGCAAAGGTGAAAAAGTAAATTTTGTACCAGGATCATAGTCTGGTGGAAGGCCCACAGACCTGTAGCTGTGTGCTGGGAGTCCTGGGGAATTGAAGAATAAAACTGAAGTCTGGAGTTGTGGTACTAGGCCCTGGAGATTTATTAGGGCCTTGGCTGAGGGCCAAGGAACAGGGCCCTTAGGAACAGGGCCCTTGTGCGGAGGTGGGTATCCATCACTGGTTGTGAAACTGTCTCAGTATTTATGTGCATTGTAAAGGTCATCAAATGTAGGAGTGCTTAGCATTAAGAAAAAGAATCTGGTAATAAATAAATGAGCAGAAAAACATAAGACCTACTGGCCACTCATCATCCAGGGGTATCCAGTGTTTTTAGTGGGAGGGACCTCACAAATTTTAAGACTTGGTCTCTGTGAAACACTTTGACCTTGGTGTTTTTCCTTTCTTCTCTGCAGAACATGGAGAGTTCCTGGCTCTGGACCTTGGAGGGACCAACTTCCGTGTGCTTCGGGTGAGAGTTACAGACAATGGACTCCAGAAAGTCGAGATGGAGAACCAAATCTACGCCATCCCCGAGGACATCATGCGAGGCAGTGGGACCCAGGTCTGACCCGTCTCGTGTGTCCTTAGGGGCTCTGGGCCCCGCAGAAGGAAACACTTCTCTCCTTTGTGGTCTGGAGGCCCTTCTTGAAACTCACATTTCCTGGCCTCTCTCTGATTGATGGTCCCCTTACATGCCTGGAAGCTGGGTTTGGGGATATTGGTCAGAGGTGCACATGGGCCAGGGAGCATGGTTATGAGTCCCTGGCATCTGGTTGTGCTGTAGCAGGGGGTGTTCTGATGTGCCATCTTTTGTGAGGTCTACTTGCATGCCCTGGTTGTTGAAGAAAGCCCTGTCAGGCAGCTGGTCACCTGTGGTAGCCCCTAGAATACAGCTGTGGCTTGACAGCACCAGCTACTGTGTTCACCATGCAGCCTTCTTTTGCTCGTGGTTGCCCCATAGCATCCCGTGCCAACGGAACCTGTCCCATCCCTCTTCTTGATGATCTAAAACAGAAAAGGTTCTGTACACAGGGTGGGAACACCAAAAACACCAAAAACCCACCTTTGGGGTGTCTATGCCATATGACTCTGCAGGTGGTTCCTTGTGCCTCTGTGTTGTTCCTAAATCATGCTTAGTTATCCTCATACCTCAGTCTCAGTGGCACCTAGAGTCAGGTAAATGGATCATACCCCCTGTAGCCATCTGTATTGTTATCAGCATCTATAAAATAAAAAGAGTGAATGGAGAAAAAATATGAAACCTCAGTAATAGCCAGAAAAATAAACATCAGGGATAGAATTGCCATGAGCATTGGGCTCTGCTCCTTGCTGAAAATAAAGGTCTGGTGCATTCCTTCAGGACTTGAAGTCTACTTGGATGGCCAGGAATTTTCCGGTGCACCCTCCTTCCCTCCAAAACACACAGTGCTAGGGCTAACCCAGGACCTATATGTGTCCAGCCGGACAGACACACTTTGTGGGAATTTTCCTTTTTTTTTTACCCTCATCCAACCCCTGCGAGGCTGGTACTCCTGTTATCTCCACTTTGTAAATGTGGATTTGGGCTTTGAAAGATTGACTTGACCTTAGATTGCATGAGTTGGGAAGGCCAGCGGTAAGATACCAAACGAGGTTGATATGATCGTGTTTGCACAAGTTTGGGGGCTCCACTCACTTGGTAGGTTGCACAATGTGGTCCTTGGGGGTGGTGCTCCTTGCCCCACAATTGCCCTGCGTCCTACAGAATGGGAGGTACTGCCCAAAGGGTCTCTGGTGGGTCTGCAGATATAAGACCTGTGTGGGGGCTCTCCCTTTGAAGTTCCCAAAGAGAACCTTCTACAGAGTAGTCACTCACTACTCCACACTTGAAAATATCTGGCTGGTTAGTGAGTGACAGCCACAGGTCCAGTCATCATCCCCTTTTCTTGGGAATTTTATCCCCTTTGGCTTGCTGTTTAGGAACCTCTGGGAGTTCTTTCTGTCCCTTCTCTAGCTGCTCTCTGTCCATGCAGAGAATTACAGAAGACTTCCCTGGATGCCAGCACAGCTGTGCAAAGCTACTCCCAGTCCACTGTTCTTACTACTGCTGACCAACTCCAGGGAAGGGGATTGTGAACCATGAGTAGAACCTGTATGGGAGAGAGCTTTAGACCTCTTATATGAACGTGGGCATAGCCCTGAGGATAAAACCTCTTTTCTTTCCTTTAATGCTGTAATTGGTCAAGGGAGGCTAAGTCTTTGAGATTTAGGCTCCACTGAAGTTGTCACACAGCTGTAGGATACATAAAAATGTTTTAGTCCAAATTAAAAAGAAATCTATGAAGATATATACCTGGAAGAAGGTATAAAACTATTGCGATATTCAAAAGATTTTGAATAAATGGAAAAAATGTTATATAAAAATGAAACAAACAAAAAACTAGAGGAAAATATGCATTTACCTCACCCCTAAGAAAGGGAAATAATACTGTGTTTTTAAAAGCAGCAGACAACTACTTGCTAAAAAAGCCTGGAAGGAAATGCTTTTATTTTACATATATATATTTTATTGTGAAGTAACATTGCACTATAACATTACATGTTTCAGGTGTGCATCATTCCAAATCAACATCTGTATGCACTACATTATGTTTGCCACTTAAAATGAAAGGAACTTCAGAGATCTTATTGCAGTGGTGGAATTCTAAGTGCTGGGCTCCCTTTTTTGTATGGGCCTGGGGATAGAATCTTAGGCAGCAATCCTTTAAAAATGGATTATAATCTAAGTCCAAAATCAAATCCAGACCCAAAACCTATAAAGTATTTGTGAAGCCCCACAGTGTGAGTCACTTGGAAACTGTTTCTAGCACTTGAACTTCCACAGGCGAGCAGGGTATTACAAATGGTAATAGAACCACCACTTAAGACTTTTCAGTGTTATTTTGTGGGAAGGGGAATGAACATATTTGTTAAACCAGTAAGGAAAAGGAACTAATGTCATAAAAAGATGCCCTTTGAGCTTTTTTATGGCAGGAGGTATTAGCTCTTTTTCCCAGCATCCTGTCCTTAGATCATAAGCTAACAGAAAAGGAGATAACCTTCCAATTATGGAAGCAGATGTGCTCCACTTTTTTTTTTTTTAAAGATTTATTTGTTTATGCATATAGAACTGGGTTACAGGCCAGAGATGCAGGGGCACTGGGAGGATTCCTTGGAGACAAAGTGGGGAACAGAACAGGCAGATTGACAAAGAAAGTCCACTGCTGAGGGGAGCAGTGGTCAAGACAGGAGAGATCTGCTGCACCATCTGGGTCACCTCCCTGGTCAGTGATTGAACTGCTGACATGGCTACGGATAGCTTCTTAGTACTACACTTTAACCCACAGCACCACCAGGGAGGGCCCCTGCTCCACTGTTAAAGAGGTATAGTTCTAGGTTCTCCTAACTATCGAAAATAAAATTTTTGCAATGGTGGAACTGTCTGTGTTCACAATGTGCAAGCTGGTAACCACCAGCCACCTGTGGTATTGAAACTTAAATGTGGCAAGTATGCCTGAGGAAGTAAATTTCTAATTTTTTAAATTTTAACTAATTAAAAATAGGGACAGAATGGCTCCAGGCTACTGTATTGGGCAGTGCATTTCCATAGCCTCATTTACCTACTTTTTTCACTGTCTCCCTCTGTGGGCAGAGCAGTTGGAGAGGGAGCGGCAGTCAGGAGGACGTGGCAGGAACTAGTAGCTTTCCCTCCTCCTAAGACACCCTTTACCTGCACAGCTAATGACTGGCTGTATCTCTTTGGACAGCTTCTGTAACTTCCTTTTTTGGACTAAAAACTATTTGTACTAAAAATCATTTGATTAAGAGGGAAGAAGGAGCTTGGCATTTGCTTCACTCATATTGCAAGTTTTGTCTCTGATTCTCTTTTCAGCAGAATACAGAACTTGCTGAATATTTATCTAGAAACCCTATTTACATGTATAAATACTGCACCTCTGCTCACAGGAGTTGGCTCAGGGGCCCAAGTGATACCTCCTCTGAGAGGATCCTGTCATTGCTCAAACTTTGCTCTTGAGAATGTTTGACTGGGAGATTGAGAGTTTCGGCATCAGTTGTGATTAGTTTGGTAGCTATGATTGATTTCAACATCAACTGTAATTAATTATAAATGATTCTAGGATCAGACAGAGGAACAGGAAGGCTGCTGGAAGTTAGAGCTTTCCATCTTCTGGATGGGGTAGCTCGTCTTCCTGAATCCTACCCACTGAGCACACATACCCCAGACATTTGGGGAACCAGTAACCTCTCAACTTACCTTGCTCCCGCATCTCACCGTTCCTTTGAAACGGCAAACACTTTTTGTGGTTTAGTTCTCAGACCAGTGTGTGAGGATCACCTGGAGGGCTCCACTCACACAATTCCTGATTTAGTTGGAGTAGAGCCCTAGGATTTGCATTTCTAACATGTTGCCACACTTTGGGAACACCTGATTTAGTGGAATCTTCCTTGTTCTTCCTGTATGAGAAAAGGAAAAGTATCCTTCCCCAACTCCCACCCAGCTGGCTTTTAGATTTTGCCATCAGACTAACTTGACCCTTGGAATCTGCTCAGTCCATTTGGCCTCTGCTTATTTTTTGCACCAGAATGACCCTGACCTCGGCACCTAACACTTTGAGGGGGTCATCCATCAGCTTCTCTTTGAGGATGTTGACTGGGCAAGAAAGATGCCGTGAGACTGTGGACTTTGGGGCTGATTGAAAGCTAGATTGTTGTGAATATAGCTTTTTCTTAGGTCTGGGAGCTGTGAGTCATCAAAGCCTGGTCACAGGTGTGAGACTGTCATCCACAAAATCATATTTAGTTTGAGGCACTCTCTAAGTATTGCATTTTGACATTAGAAAACAAAGATGAGCCCTTTGAACTGCTCTCAGAAAATTAGTTTTCTAGAAAGGGGAAGAAATATAAAAGTTACTTATTTTTGTTTATAGAATGCTAATAGAAAATGTCTCAGATTTGCTCTTATTCACAAGAACACTAACGTGCCTCTTGGCAGGAGAGGAGCTGCCCTTGCTGGTAAAGTAGTCGGCTGTGTACCCATGTCAAGGAGTCTGAGTGTTGCTATGATTTCCCTTGCCCCACAGGGTTATACATGCATATACGTGTGTATGTGTATATGTATGTGTACATCGGTTTATTAGAAAAGTCATGACACATTTTTTCTATGTTTTTTAACTCTTTTCACTAACTTTCTGAGGGCAAGGATAGATTATCCTCCTATTTAATAGATGGGAAATGAAAATATTGGAGGGATGTATATCTTGCACACGTCCAGCCAGTTCTTTTCTGAGCCAGAAGTCCGTATCATTAGTCTCTATGCTATTTTGCTTCCCTGCTCATTGTCTGTATTGTGTGCCCTTAGCTGTTTGACCACATTGCTGAATGCCTGGCTAACTTCATGGAGAAACTACAAATCAAAGACAAGAAACTCCCCTTGGGTTTTACCTTCTCGTTCCCATGCCATCAGACAAAGCTAGATGAGGTAAGATGACATCTTCACACACTTTTGTTGCTTTGCTCTTCGGGCTGGGAGGTCTAGGAAGAACTAGAGCCACTTGCTGCTGTGAGTGATGAGGTTTGAGTATTGAGAGTTCTGTCGTTGGATGAGTGTTTGTAGGTCTGGGGGACGGTGAAGAAGTGTTTGAGAAGTGGGGTGGACGGTGAAGAAGTGTTTGAGAAGTGGGGTATCTTTATCACCCTTGAAGAAGAGTGTGCAAAGAGTGTGCAAACCCACATATATAGCACATTATCTTTATCTCTCTTAGGGAACAAGAATGAGAAGTTAGTCCAGAACCCCTTTGATCTAAAGTGTTACAATAAAGGTCCTCGGAAGAAAGATTCCCAGGAGTTAGTGACTAGTGGTGAGAGGCTACCAATAGTAGTTTAGGAGGTGTATAGCCTGCTTTCCCCACTTCTTGGGGGCAGCGGGTCATGAAGGAATCATTCATTTGCTCTCCTTCTTAGGATGGTCTGCAAGCAATAGACATATTCAGGCATGACTTTCCTTCAGTTGAGCCTCATGGCAGATATCACCATCTGGGGTCTGTGTTTAAGAGGAATCAATATTTAAGATTGGATCCTTTTCCAGAGTGTCCTGGTCTCATGGACCAAGGGGTTCAAGTGCAGTGGCGTGGAAGGCAGAGATGTGGTCGCTCTGATCCGGCAGGCCATCCAGAGAAGAGGGGTAAGTAGAGGTGGCAGGGGTGGGGAGGCTGGAGGAGGGGCCTGGAGGCTCTTTACATTCTTTTTGGTCTACTCTGAAGTCTGTCCCAGTTTGTCTTCAAGTCAGCATGAGAACTTTTTGTGGTTCTTAAGGAGAGTTTTTCTTCTTTCCGATATTTACCCAACACTTTTTTATTCCTTTTTTAGTTTTACTAAGATATAATTGACATAGCTCTGTGTTTAAGATGTACCTCATAATGCCTTGGCATCCATGTACTGCTAAGTGACTATCACACCAATAGTCTTATATTACATGTCTTTGGACTCCTCAGATTAACATACTGGATAAATAATCTAAGCCTTGGTGGTGCAAGAAAATTCTAGCTCTTTACTTGAAGATCCAAATTTTATTTTCAAGTCAGAATTGGGGTGCTCCTTACTGACAGGAGAGTGGAATGGGGCAGAGAGAGGACAAGATAAAGGTCTTGGCACAAGGTGGGAGGGAGGGACCGAGGAAGGAAAGGAGACACTGATGCTAAGATGGGCTCTCAGGGCAGTGCTGCTGTAAACTAGACCCGGGGCTGTGTCAGGCAAGCCCTCCACAATGAGGACAAGCAGGCCGGAGAGCGAGCTGCTGCTGGTAGATGGATCTCAACCTTATTTCCAATTCTGACCTTTGGTTCCAAGTAGGGCTGGTAAGGGGCAGCCCTATAGTACTTGAGCTGTGTGTCTTGCTGTTCTTTCTCTCCATCGGTACGAGTGTGACCTTTCTGTGATGGGGAAGGTAAGAGCCCCCCCCCTTCATCCCCCCAGGACTTTGATCTTGATATTGTGGCCGTGGTGAACGACACAGTTGGGACCATGATGACCTGTGGTTATGATGACCAGAACTGTGAAATTGCTCTCATTGTGGGTGAGTATGAGGGGAGTGGGTGGGCTGGAAAGAGGGCTCCCTGACCTGGGTGTGCCTTTGTACTTCATATTGGAAGAAAAATGCATATCACTTTGAAGGACTAAGCCAGTACTTGTGGAATTGGGAGTGGTAGTGGATTGTACCATGTTAGAATGCCCCAGGAACCTGCTATAAAGAACTGCAGCCACCCCGGGCAGTCTCTTGATAGTGGAAGAGGGAAGAAAGGGCTGGGGGGAGGATGGTGTGGGTAGGTGCTGAACAGTCCTTTGCTTTGGCCAGGTACGGGCAGCAATGCCTGCTACATGGAAGAGATGCGTCACATTGACATGGTGGAAGGTGATGAGGGGCGGATGTGTATCAACATGGAGTGGGGGGCTTTTGGGGATGATGGCACGCTCGATGACTTCCGCACTGAGTTTGACCAGGAGATCGACATGGGTTCCCTGAACCCTGGGAAGCAACTGTGAGTAGGTCCCCAATTGTACTGGGCTTGGGAGTGGGTTCAAGAGCTGAAGTGGGGGTTGGCAGGGCCAGGCAGATTTTGTTTACATCTATATTTATTACATCTAATCATCCCCAAAAGACTGCCAAGGCATCCACTGGTGATGGGATTGCTGTGTTCATCACATACATTGCTGAGAAGGCTCTAGCAAAGGTAGAGCAGGCAGACAAACCAGACAATAAGTGACAATTTGGTCATGTTCTTTAGAGCAGTTGTTTCAAGTCATCTTCTACATCTACCCATGTGCCCCTGCTCTTTCCATCTTCACTTTGTAAGTTGTTCGTGGAAATAGTTCATGAGCCATAAATTGAGCTGAGCCGGCAAGACAAGGGTCTTTGAAAAGTGCATCTGTGACGCCCATCCCTGTCACTGCCCAGAAGACAAGGCTGTGACACTGGATCCTCGCTACTGGTTGAGGCTCTGACTCAGACCTCTGGCAGGTTTGCCTGTGACCTAGGCTGGACCCCACAGAGTCCAGGGCCTCCTGTCCCAGCTACAGACAGACCCAAGGCTTGTGGAGAAGTTGGCCAAGGACCCTCCTGTCTGCCTTCCCTGGACTTGTGATCCAGCTGGGGGCCTTGTGGGAGGAATTGACCTAGTATTTTGGGGCTTGAATGTTATATTCTCCAGTCTGGCCAGGCTTGGTTTTAGTTACTTTTACAAAAGAGGGTTTCACTCTCATAAACGTTTGCTAATGTCCCTTCCTCTTAAAGATCTTGAAATAAGAATTGCTGTAAGCACTGAAGGCAATTGCAAAACATTTTGAGCAATGCCGGCCCTCTCGTCTTCTTGTTGCTATGACTCTTGCAGCAAAGCTTTTAGTACACATCTCTGCCTAGAGAGGGATGTCCAGCCATCCTTGCCAGCCAGCTAGGCGCAGGCAGCCTTTTTTCTTACAGAGAGCAGTGTCCTTGCTTCCTGAAAGCATGGCTTGTTAAGTCATACACTTCTCTCACATGTTGAAACGTGAGTCCACGAACTTGTAACTTTCCGAGGAACATACTGGCTGTGTCTTCTATGGGTGGTGAAAAATTTATGGACTGAAAAGTCACTCACTCAATGCCTGCCTCCATGATGAGGTCAACCCACGCCATTCCAAGGAGCCACATGCTTGCCCTTTAAAGTGTCAGAAGACAGAATTGCCAGCTAGGCCTTGGCAGCACACCTTCGGCTTGGCCCGGGGCAAATCAAAGGCTGGGTGGACATATGCCAGGGCGTCAGCCACGGTAGCCCCAAAGTCCATTAGGAATTCTTCTCCCCCACCTCTTTTAAAAATGATTTTTGATTGAAGTAATAGTGCCTTATATAAATGTCAGGTGTACATCATCATAAACCAACATCTGTACGTGCTACCTATTTGATTCTAGGCAGATCTTTTCCAAGCATTGACTGAAGTAAAGTGTTATATAAATTGGAACAAAAAAAAATGTTTTCCCCTTTTCATTTAGGATTTTTGTTTATTTTTGTTTTGGATATACTTATTATTTTTTCTTTTTATTAAATTTGAGGTAACATTGGTTTACAACGCTGTATGTGATTCAGAGGTATAGAGGCACGCCTCTCAGATGTATGTCACCACACCCTCCACCAAGGCGTCCATAGTCCTCCACCATTGTCCATTGCATCCCTTCATACTGCTCTCTACTTTCCCCCATCCTCTCTGTTAGCCTCAATTTTACAATCAGAATTCTAGGGGTTTGTTTTTGGTTTGGTTTTGTCTGATCCTTTGTTTTGTTTCTCCATGGAGCCAGCTGTGCCATAGAACCGGCTTTTCCAGAGAAGGTGCAGAAACAAACACACTTTCTGCATTGTTGGAGCCAGGCTGCCGCCCTGCAGTGCTGGTGCTGGTGCTTCAACATTTACGTGTACCCTAGGTCTAATGATTTTGCTCGCTCTCCAGTTCTGCCATACCTGGCCTTACGTCTTGAGCAAGGGGCCTGGCCACCTCTTCTGTAGAGTCCACCAGGTGCCTTGCAATCCCCTCTGTAGCTTTGCCTTGGTCAGTCTAGCTAGTACCCGCAGGTCCTGGGTGCCTGCTTTCTTTCTGAGATATCAAGAAACTGGCTTTCTTTGCCAAAAATTGGTAAGGACTTAGTTTTTCCTGTGCCATAATCTAAACCAGTCTTTTGACTGTCATTGAGGTAAACAGTGTCACCTAGTGTTGAAAAGACAAATTACCTGACTGCCCTCTGCTTGGTGGCTCTGTCATTCCAAAACATATCTTTATCTTGTCACCTGCCTGCTCAGACACTTCCAGTGTGTCTCCTGTTCCTGAGAACACCGGCATCTAGAGCTCCTTCTCATCTGTCCCACCGTGCCTTTCTAATCTTGCTCCATCAGCCTCCTCTACCCTGGTTGTTTTCCTAGGAATCCTTGCATGACCCATAAGGGGAGAGCAGTGTGAGGTGATAATTGGCCTGAGCTCCAAATATATATGGTTGGTCTTTTTTCTCTCCTGTAACTAGGTGTTGAGGTTATTCTACATGAGGTTGTGGTTTAAAAAAGCATTTCTTACTAGAGAAAAAATTTAATGATCTTCACCCTATACATAATTCACTCTAGCTAAAACTTATTGTTCCAGAATGTTCCACACTCCCTGGATGATTAATCTGGTTGCAAAAGGCCCATTCTTAGTTCAAAACCATCAGCTGCAGAGAAAGCCTGAAGTTTCTTTCTCCAGATCTCCCTCCCGACTCTTTTTTTTCCCCATTTTATTTCATTCCATGTCAGTGCCACATCATGAACACTGAATTGTGTACCAGCCTCTAATGTGTGTTGAGTTTTCGTCTACATGTGTGTTGCCACCACAGGAAACTTGTGAGTTCATTGACAGCGGGGACTTTGTCTTTTTTTGGTCTCTATCTCCTGTAGATTTGAGAAGATGATCAGTGGAATGTACATGGGGGAACTGGTGAGACTTATACTGGTGAAGATGGCTAAGGAGGAGCTGCTTTTCGGAGGGAAGCTCAGCCCAGAACTCCTTGCCACAGGCCGATTTGAGACCAAAGATGTTTCAGATATCGAAGGGTAAGTTTCAGGCTCTTTTCTGTTCACTGGATCCCCAAGGAGTTCTGGGAGTGAGGAAGGGGCATTCGCCCTTGATCCTTCAAATATGAATGGCAAGAGTGTCTTTCTCCTAACCTGGGCCATGGTGGGGGGCGGGGGCTTGTCCTGTTTCACATATCAGATCTGTCTCCACGGTTGTCCATTTTGAGCATGCTGACTGCCAAAATGACTCACAATGCTGGAATGATTGCCCCCCCCCCCCCAAGGGATGTTGTATACTTCCAGCATGCACATGGGTGGGGGCTTCTTGGCAAAAAGCTGTAGGCACCCAGTGGGCCCCTTAATGACTCATTTACATCTACTTCTGTTCTTTTTCTGGAGGCACTGACATTTTGTTCTCTGTTGGTGATTCTCAAAGAAGACGCTATCTTGATCCTTGTTTCATAATAGAAAAATAACTCCTTGGATAGCCCAGAGACCTACCGATTTAATTCCAATGGGTAGATTTGAGACCTGCATTTTCAGAGTAGTCGGGTTGAGGACAGTCAGCCACTTTTTGTGGCTATTTGTCAGTTAATGATACCCAAAGAATTGGACTTAGTTTCTGTTTTTGAGACTTTCCTTTTGCTTGAGGAGGCCCTGTTATTTCAGGGTATGGGTAGTAGAAAAGGTGATTTTGATGTTAATGAGAACACTAAAACAGTTGAGATATTTATACCTTGAAACTCTTGAAGGAACTGTTCCTACTTGTTAAACCCTCAGGGGAAGAAAGTTCTCCTATATGTGAGGCACTTAGTCCCCAAAGAAGGGTGCTAATCTCCCAGCACCAGCCTTTTATCACTCGCCATCTCAGCACTAGTGAAAGCAGTGCCTACTCCTTCCTGAAATACAGAAAACTCTTGACTGCTTTACAGAGAGAAAGAATGGAGGGTGTTGTATAGAGGGGGTGGTGGCAGGGACACTGCCCTTTCACCTCAAAACAAGCAAATATATCACAATGTCAGGCCCCACGAACAGGGCCCTACTCTTAGATCCTATGTGCATAAAGGTTAATAGTTTTTCTCACTAAGACAGAGGGGCACCTGGAGAGGTTGTGTGTGTGTGTGTGTGTGTGTGTGTGTGTATCTGTCTGTCTCTATGAGAGAAGCCTCAGGTTGGCTCTGCTGTGTTATCTCCTCTCTTGTTCAACCATTTCTCTCTCCCCTGACCCAATTCCCAAAGCCCCCAATGTGGGTAGAGCAGTGAAGTGTCTGTTCTCTTTGGGAGATGGATTTGCTGCATCTGAAGGGTTTCCCTGGATGTTCTCACCTCTTTCCTCTCCCACTGGCTACAGTGGGCAGGGCGCCGGTTGCATTCCATCTGTTTCTTAGGGAGAAGGATGGCATACGGAAGGCACGGGAGGTCTTGGTGCGACTGGGCCTGGACCCGACAGACGAGGACTGTGTGGCCACTCACCGGATCTGCCAGATTGTGTCTACTCGCTCAGCCAGCCTGTGTGCAGCCACCCTGGCAGCCGTCCTGCGGCGCATCAAGGAGAACAAGGGTGAAGAGAGGCTGCGTTCCACCATTGGGGTTGACGGCTCTGTCTACAAGAAACACCCCCAGTGAGTCAGCCTTTGGGACCCTAGGATGAAGCCCCTAGACTGCTGACAGGCTTGAGAGAGAGCTCAGTGCCCCCATGAGTCAGCTCCACTTTGCATTCTGGGGGTGGTACAGAAGGACTGTGTGGTGAAAGTCTTGGTAAAATAAAAGCTCCCAGCTGGGCAAGTGGGAGCAAGGAAGGTGCTGTTCCTAGTAATGGTGGAAGTGATTTCTGAAGATGACCATTGGTAAGGGCTCAACTCAGAGCTCCCTGTGGTCACTGGGTTTCTCTCTTTCTTTGATTATTGGTAGTCCCTTCAGGTGTGGTGTCCTCTGGCAAAGACCACCCCAGCCCAGTGAGTTACCAGCCTTTTGGGTTACCTTGGTATTGAATTGATCTGCCCTGACTGCCATGTTTTGACCCCTTGCGTCCTAAGTGCATAATATTCAAATTTTAGTTCAGACATGGAAGATATCTCTCTATTGTACCCACTTGTTATCCCATCCTTTTCATCTACTATGAGTGTCAGAGGTCAGTGAGCTTTCATTACCAGAACTGGTTGATGCAGAAGCTCCCAGCTCCACCATGTCCCAGTCTTCTAGCCCATGCTTCGGAAATGTTCAAGTGCACATGTAAATCAACTGGGGATCTTGTTTAGAAGTAGATTCAGAAGGTCTGGGGTCAGCCTGAGCTCCTGCATCTCTAATAGTCCCCATGATGCTGCTGGTTCACAGGCCACATGGAACAGCGAGAACCTGTGAACATAGCTGTGGTCCTTAGTTGTTCAGACATCATGGGAGCATTGGCAGAAAATCGCCATAGAGAGGCCAAATGCCAGAAGAAGAGTTCTGCTTTTCTGTGTTGGGTCTTTACCAGGCAGCTGCTAATGAAATGAGTGATGAAGCATGGAACATCACCTGATTTCAGTGGGCTGCTCCAGCAAGAGATTGGGCAGAGGAGACCAGGCCAGGGGCCTAGATGGACTAATGGGGGGTGGTCTTATGTGACTACATGCAGGTGACTGTGGCTTCCTTGAAGGCGCCTTTCCTTATGGCAGGTGTTGAGTCCCAGCTTAATAGCTGAGCTTTGACACCACGACTCCTAACTTGGGGAACAGTGGGGAGAGGGTGCTCGGGGCAGCTCCTGTTCCTGCTAGTATTGCCTAGCACTTTCGCCAAGGCAGTGAGTTGCTGCTCCACTGTTAGCACTGTTGACCTCAACTGTGGTCTCTACCCGTCTTTATCACCATAGTTTTGCCAAGAGACTTCACAAGGCAGTGCGGCGTCTGGTGCCGGATTGTGACGTCCGCTTCCTCCGCTCTGAGGACGGCAGTGGCAAGGGGGCGGCCATGGTGACAGCAGTGGCCCATCGGCTGGCTGACCAACACCGAGCCCGCCAGAAGATCCTGGAGTCTCTGAAGCTGAGCCATGAGCAGCTGCTGGAGGTTAAGAGGAAGATGAAGGTAGAAATGGAGCAAGGTCTGAGAAAGGAGACTCACGCCATTGCCCCTGTCAAGATGCTGCCCACCTATGTGTGTGCCACCCCTGATGGCACAGGTACGCACAGGGCGACACCCAACTCACCACTGAGGACCTTTGTCCTGGTGTAGATGTGTCCATAGGACTTCCTTAGCCTTAGAATTGGTCATTTGGACCAGAATATGTTTCTTCAGCTATATAGCTAGGAAGTTCTAGTGGTCAATAAACTCAAATAAGGTATTCCTCTGTTAAAAGTTGAGCCATGATAGTATGCTTTGTCCGTGTCAAACACCTCTCTGAGCATTTTATACATTGATTTTCATCTAATCTTTAGCCACCAATGGAGGTTAGTAGGTAGTTTCAGCAGCACATTTGATGTTTGGCATAAAATTGAGGCACAGTATCTAGAAATCTTTCCAAGTTCACAAAGCTAGAAATGACAGAGCTGGGATTCAAACCCAGGACTTTTGGTTCCAGGGCTAGTTTTTGTATTCCTGGGTCCCAGGTTGGCAAACTATGATTCATGGATGAAATCTGGCCCACTGCCTGTTTTTGTAAATAAAGTTTTATTAGTGCACAACCATGTCCATTTGTCTACACATTGTTATAGCTGCTATCCATTACCATGGCAAACTTGTATGGTTGCAGCAGAGACTGTGATTCACACACCTGAAATATTTTCTACCCAAACCTTTTCTGAAAAGCATTGCTGATCTGTCTTTAAGAAATGGTAGTCTTTTCCCCAATTCAGAGAAACAGCCTTTGACCAGGCTCTGTATAGCATAATTGGAATAGGTTCTAGAAGTAGAGTCTAGGATGTGGTTGCTGCTCTGCCCTGCTTAACTGTGGGTCCCTGGGTAAGTGATTCAGCCTAGCTGAGCCAAGTCTCCCTCCTACATCAGAGGTGAATGCCATGCTTTCTTCCTTCTCAGTGTTGCCCTCAGATCTCATGAGTACTGTTTATGAGGCATGCAGCTCCTTGTGATCACCCCAGTAAAGAGGTTTTCTCCTTTTAAAGTTTCCCTTCATCCACGGGGATTACAACTGAGATGGAAAAATGCACAAAATGATGTAAAAAATAAACTATTATATTATTAAAAAGTTTTCCCTTCAGTTTCCTTTAAGGAGCGGGACTATGCTATTCTGCAGTCTAGACTCTCACATAAGGTGGCCTTTGACTTAGCATGGATGGGGTGTTGGATATTTTGAGTGTACTGTATTAGCATGTCCTGTGTTCTGCAGAGCCCATTGTGATTTCCGGGGCTTCACCACCTGAATTCACTTAAAAACTGCTAGAGTCAGTTCATCTCAGATTTCTGGAATCTTACTCTTTACTGTTGGAGCTCATGGTCCATCACTCCTGGGACTTTCGTGTGGCACCCAGGAAAGCCCCTCATTTTAGGAGAAGGTGCTTTAGACCCTCTCTCTGTGATGAAGTGGTGATGTCTCAACTCATCATTCTCCCGGGTTTATTTTCCAGAGAAAGGTGACTTCCTGGCCTTAGACCTCGGGGGAACAAATTTCCGGGTCCTGCTGGTCCGTGTGCGGAACGGGAAGAGGCGGGGAGTGGAGATGCACAACAAGATCTACGCCATCCCACAGGAGGTCATGCATGGCACTGGGGATGAGGTAAGGCAAGGTGGCACTCTGGCGAGGGGACCCCAGAAGACCTCCACTTCTTGCAGTTTTCTCTGCTCATTTATAGTCTCAGGGCGAGCTTGGTAGACTGTGACTCTGGCCTGGCTTTTTACCAGGTCTGTGCCCGAGTTTGCATCTTTCCTGAATAGAGACCTGAAACTCCTGCTCAGGTCCTGCCTGGCTAGGGCCCCTTTCCTTAGTGCCCTAACTTCTCTTTGCAGCTCTTTGACCACATCGTCCAGTGCATCGCTGACTTCCTGGAGTACATGGGCATGAAGGGTGTGTCCCTTCCTCTGGGTTTCACCTTCTCCTTCCCCTGCCAACAGAACAGCCTGGATGAGGTAACAGTGCCCTTTTGGACGGCTCTCCTAATGGGCTTTATTAACTCCAAACCAGTTAGTATTTGGAGCAGGGGAGAAAGTTGAGCAGAGAGGAGGAAACAAAGGGCCCAAGTGACCAGATGTGAGGGGGCCTATTGATGAGAATGAGTAAGTCAGGGCTGGTGGAGGTTAAGCAGGTTGGCTCAGCTGTAATAATCTTTGGGATGATGTTGACGATGCTAATCAAAACATTAACTAGCATTTTTAAAGCATTTTATGCCAGGGAGTATGCTAGGCTTCCTATATGCATTATTCTCAATTAATTCTCACAGCAGCCATAAAGGTAGGTGCTTGTATACTCATTCTGCAAAAAGGAAAATGAGGCTTATGGAGATGTTAAATATTTGCCCCAGGCTGCTTGGGGGATGCCAAGCTGTGATTTGAATTTTTTTCCCAACATCTGAGCCTATGCTCTCAATTAAGTTCGCGTGCTCCTGAGGCCCTTGCTGGTTGCATTTTCATTCATCTCCTGGATGCCCTGGCACTTATCTAGTCTCACCTTTGCTTTTCATTCCTTTCAATTTGCCCTGGGTGAATGAAGCAGGTGGGTAAAGATCCGGTACTCCCATAACTCTAGACATAAGTGTGTTGATCAGTGGGAGAGCTGAGCAGGTGATGTTTGGGCTTCATCTGGGTCACTCTTGGTAAATTAGAGATCAGATTGCTGTTATTTAAGCAGTTGTTTCTCTGTGTCCCCATCATTCATCTAGATACTTCTATGCATGTTACAAGTAAACAGCATGCTGTGCAGAGTTGCACGGGCATGAAAGTCATAGTTCCCAATTTAGGTTTTTATAAACAAACTGGGCAATGAATCAAACTCAGAAAAGCAAGGCCCGCTGTTTGGAGTGTGGCACCAATGAGATGCAGAAGCCTTGAGGATCTGCCTTGTGATGCTAGTCAGAGTACACAGTGGACTTGAGGAATACTTGACTCAGCCAAGCAAGAAGAATGAGTGGGTGGGTAAGACAGGTTGACTTGGGCCTGTGGAGCAGGCTGCCTAGGGAGGGACAGAACAGTTCAGTGAACTTGGTCCTGGGTGGAAGAAAGGCCACTGGGTTCCCAGAACAGCAACCCCCAAGCTACTCAGTGAGTGTCTAAGTGCTTCTTGTGTCCCTCTGACAATTAAACTCACCCTGTGCACTAGTATACTTAGGTTGGGGAAGCCCTACAATAAAAATCTGGCCTGATCCACTATTTCTCAGCACCTCTTGGCATTCTCCACACCTTGTATTTTTCATTGTCAGTACACTGGCTTTCCAAAGACTTCTTATGTGCATCAGTTTATCAAAGGAAATTATCCAATATGCAGATAAATATTTAATGTGCTATTTAATGAAACATTATTTGTTATAACAAAGACATTAGAAACAAACCTAATCATTCATTGTCAGGAAAAAGTTAATAGATTATAAGCCATTTACCGCCTTGTTTGTGACTAGTTTTCTAGCAGAAATCTCGATGCAAAAGGAAAATACTGGTGGTATGGCTGAATTTTTTTTTTTTTTAAAGAAAAGCGTAATCTCCGTAATATACACACATACAAAAATGTAATAAATAGAGGGGAAAAGGGCTCTCCCTGGTGGCACAGTGGGTTAAAACACAGCACCAAGAAGCTTAAGTCACTTCTGCATGAGTTTGATCCCCGCCTACATGGGAGGAGATCCACATGGTGCGGTAGACCTCTCCTGACCGGCCTGCTGCTCCCATCAGCAGGGTACTTTGTTGATCTGCCTGTTCTGCTCCCCACTCTGTCCCTGGTGAATCTTCTCACCCTCTGCATCTTTGGCCTGTACCCCAGTTCTGTACAAATAAATAAATAAATATTTTTTAAAAAAAAAATAGGGGGAAAAAAAAAACCACTCCAGTGTATATATTGCCAGATATTTTTACTGGAATATTTTTAAACAAAGACTTGACTCTTCATGACAGCACATATATATGTCTTTATACATTTGTCAGGTGCCCCCAAGACATGTTAACTGTTTCTGCTTGAATTGTAAGATTCTAGGTCATTATATTAGATTTTATTTATTTATTTTTTTGTTTTAATTAGGATTTAGGTATACGTACAAGAAATGGGGACTAGGCCGGAGGTGCAGGGGATGAAAAGATTCATCATAGACCGAGGGGGGAGCAGAACAGACAGATTGACCAAAATAAACGGCTGAGGGGAGCAGTGGGAGAGACAGAAGAGGTCTGCTGCACCATGTGGGGTAGCTTAGGTTTCTGCAGGATTGTAAAAATGGAGAGCAACTAAAGGAGAATCTGGGTTCTCTGTTCTCCTGAGTTCTGCTCTGGGAAATTGTCCTGCAAAGGGGAAATGCACAGGTCCCCAGGCCTGGTGACCTCAGGCGGCCTGGGCCAGCAGGTGGCCTGGGCTCTCTCCCCAGCAGCTGGGGCTTCTGTTTGTCTTGTTATTAAGGATTATCTGAAATATCTGAACATTCTGTAAACTTGAAATAGCCAAATACAAAATATTGTCAGACACATAAAGCTAAGCTGAAGACAAGAGAGCTGGTGGAAATGTACACACAGTTGTTTAGATGTAGGCGTGTGAGTCAGGCCACTGCTGTTCCTCCTGGTCTGAACACAGGGTGACACATCCAGGTTGACTAGTGATACCAAACTCCTGGGCAATAAGATGCCCAGCTGATGGGTATGAGCAACCTAGCAAGGAGAAACTGTGCGGTTAGGCAGCTATCACTACAGAGCCTATGTAGATTGTGGCCTCGCAGGTGGGGGCCTGAGAGTAGTGATACCTTGTTTTCTTTTTTTAAAGATTTATTTATTTATGCATACAGAACTGGAGTACAGGCCATAGGTGCAGGGGCAATGAGAGGATTCACCAGACACAGTGAGGAACAGAACAGGCTGACAAAGAACAGCTCCCTGACTGAAGGGAGCAGTGGGTGAGACAGGAGAGATATGCTGTGCCATGTGGATCACCACTAGGATTGGGGATCGAACTTGTACTGAAGTGGCAGTCGCCAGCTTGCAGTGCTGCGCTTTAACCTGCTGTGCCAGCAGGGAGGCCAGTGTGATGCTTGTTTTCGGAAGGCCTGTGGCAGCGAAGTAGAAACCAGGCATCCGAACACTTTAAACAGTTCTTCCATGTCTAAAACCATTCTGCTCCCAGAAGACCCTGTGTCAACACAATAAAGTGTCACATTAAATGTGGCCCTGTGGGGGCACCAGGGAGCCTGGAGTGCTTTTTTCACTGGGGTGCTGCTGCAGCCATGACATCATCCTGACTACGGGCAGGGGACTATTCATACTGGAGCTTGAAAATTAAAGGATGCCTGTTTACGCTTCTCATATAAATACCGGACAAGACAGGACGGCCCTAACTGCTTTCCCAGTGAGGGAGAAGTCATGGAAGTTAGTTCTCTGGCTTGGGCAGTTTGGTGCTTATGAGCTTATTTGTTGGAGTCAGTGGGGATGAAGGTGAGTCCTGTTCCTCCTCCAAGCTGTAGGCCTTGGGCAGGTTACTCTAGAGCCTCAGTTACCTGTAAAATGGGTGTGGTATGATAAATATTTCATAGGGTTGCTGTGAGGTTTAAATGATGTGTTTAAGCACATGCGATATGCTTAGCCCAGTACATGGTCCATAGACAGTGCTTAAGAAATCCAAGTCTAATGTGCTCAGAATCTTTTGTGAGTGAGATGATTGGCAACTGAAGGGACTCTGTATAGTGGCAACTGAAGGGACTCTGTATAGCCTCTGAGGTTGAGTGCTAGAAACACAGTTCACCCCTCCAAGAATGACCCAGGAACCCTTCTTTGATACCATTATCTTTGCTCATGTGTGATTTTTAGAGCATCCTCCTCAAGTGGACAAAAGGCTTCAAGGCATCCGGTTGTGAGGGCGAGGATGTGGTCACCCTGCTAAAGGAAGCCATCCACCGGCGAGAGGTAGGAGAGACATGGCATGAAACCCGAAATGGTGTGTGTCCAGAAAGTGGGGACTTGCTGAGTGCCATTGATTTTGCATAGGGGGGAGAAATAAGGGAGCCCTTGAGCAGTTATTGACTGTCCACTGTGCATCAAGTCGTGCTCTTGGCACTGGGTGTTCAGGAGTGGTCATAACAACTCTTGATCTGTAGACAAACCCATGAGCTAATGTCAGCTGCTATGAAGTGGGGAGGAAGTAAGTTGGTAAGGACAGAGTGGGCTGGAAAAAGGGCATTCTTTTAAATAGTGTACATAGCAAGGGAAGGTCTTTGAGGAGGGGACACTAGGACAGAGTGGAAAATGAAAAGAGAGAATAAAGTTCTGCCATCTGTATAATACACCTTTTATATGCATATAAGTCTCCTTTGCAAGTGCCTGAAGGGAGAATAGTGTGGTTCACTTGTGGACTGGGGGTCGGTTCTCACCCTTTCAGGAGTTTGACCTGGATGTGGTTGCTGTGGTGAATGACACAGTTGGAACTATGATGACTTGTGGCTATGAAGATCCTCACTGTGAAGTTGGCCTCATTGTTGGTAAGGATGCAGCTGTCCTGTTGTGTAAGGCCCCTCAGCCTCAGATGGGTGGGAGGATGGTGCTGAGACCCTGGCATCTCTGCGATTGGCAGGCACGGGCAGCAACGCCTGCTACATGGAGGAGATGCGGAACATTGAGCTGGTGGAAGGGGAAGAAGGGCAGATGTGTATCAACATGGAGTGGGGGGCCTTTGGGGACAATGGCTGCCTAGATGACCTCCGCACAGAGTTTGATGTGGCTGTAGATGAGCTCTCCCTCAACCCTGGCAAACAAAGGTAGGCACGTGTGTGTGTGTGTGTGTATGCGCGGGTAGTTACATGTAGCCCAGGACTGGACAGTGACGAGTGATCTTCTACAACAGTGATTCCAGGATGTTCCATCCTAGAGATGTGAATAGAAGAGATTTTCTTGTCAGCTACTCCTAGAAAGCTCTGTTGGGAAAAAAAGTTAAACAGCTAATTTTGCAAGGAGAATTTCATCTAGGGAATTGGTCCCACAGGCTTTAGTGGATGAAAAGACAAAAAGGGGACGCTGAGGAACACAGAGTTAATAGTTGTAAGGCATGGCTTTCCTCAAGAGGACTTAAATCTTGGTTTAAACCTTGGCCTGGGACTGTGAGGAAAAACAAGTAGAAAGTCAAACCACCTCAGGATAAAGTGTTGTTTAGGTGACACAGGCAGGAAGAGGAAGCAAAGAGAAGTAAGGCTCTTCCTCCTCCTCCCACCCCATATATAGACCCACTATTGTCAGGACAGGGCAAGGGGCCAGTCCTTTCACCACAAATCCTCACATGTGGTGCTGGGGGCTCAGGACTGAGAGATGTGAGAGTAAAAGCCCATATCCTCCCCAGTAAGATGTTGTGGATTAATCAGGGACCATACTCCTACAAGATTGTACCTGCAAAACATTTGTCTAGAGTAGAGGTCGAAGCCTTTTTAAAAATACCTCTAGATCCACATAGGTTTATTAGTGAAGGAAGCTAGCTGGGGTAAGACAAGATGTAATCTTGGTTGACAATAGGGATCTCAACTTTTTAAAGGTTCTCTGCAAGGCCAGAAGACCTTGAAACCACAGTACAGTTATATGCAGTTCCAGTGGCTAGGACAGGGTGGTCTCCAGCTCATACTGGTTACTTGAGTAATAATGATCAGGTTGAAGAGAAAGCATGCCAAGTGAGGTTAAAGATTAAAACTTAGCATCCAACCCTTCTGGAAGTGTGGGATTTAGGTGTGTGAGGCAGGGATAAACCTTGGAAGAGAAATGAGCCCAGCAGGTGGGAAGCCTATGGGCCTCAGGCACTGTGGTCAGTTCACCAAAAGCTGTGGGTCAGCTGTTCGGATGCCAGGCGTCCTGCCCAAATGAATCAAGTAGCTTTTCTATTCCCACCAAAGGGAATCTGGGTGCTCTCTGCTTTCTAATATATTGGGAGGTGATAAGCTTCTCAACACTTCTCAACACCTCCCATTTCTTTCCTATTTAACCTCCACTAATGTAACACGCATTGCAGGTTTGAGAAAATGATCAGTGGCATGTACTTGGGTGAGATTGTCCGTAACATCCTCATGGATTTCACCAAGCGTGGGCTACTCTTCCGTGGCCGCATCTCAGAACGACTCAAGACAAGGGGAATCTTTGAAACCAAATTTCTATCTCAGATTGAGAGGTGAGTACTAGGCTCAGGGGAAATGGGGACAGTGTCCTTTCATATTGTGAGCAAAGAAGCTAAGAGATTTCCACCACTGAATTAAGATCAGACTTACACAAAGGTCAGTTCAGCAGTTAACACATTCGTGTGTATAGTGTTTATTATTTAAAATACCTTATGGACAGTTAACATTTTATGAGAAAATACGTAACAATACGAAAGATCATTCTAAGCTGGTATGATTCCATGTTGGTTTTAAGCCATGTAGCAAATGTAGAAAGGCACCTCATAGGATGCAAATTGATATGCACAGAGAATGATGACCTGTTAAAGCACTTATTCTCAGCTAGCGAGTTCTTAACTGCTGAGTGCAGTAATAAGGCAACCAGGATCAATGAAAGTTTGCACATCAGACAATGTAGAAACTTGCATGTGTCAGCTCATTAAAGCAAAGTCGTCCTCCTCCAGTCTAATGGTGGAAAAGTCTGCTCCAAATTAGAACAGTGAAATTTCAGAGCCCTTTAAAATTTAATACTGTAGCATGACTTTCAGTTACATAGAAAAACAGGAATTGGAAGACAGACATGAGTGGGCCCCTAGGCTGCTTGCACCAGTGAATGGAAAGAATATGTTCTATTGATGCCAAGAAGATTGCAGGGTTCTCAAGTAGAATAATATATAATAGTGGTTCACTTCCTCCCTGCAATCTTATTTACATTTCTTTCATAAGTGTGCACACATAGATTTCGGACCACGGGGGATTGAGTGAGGGAGAGGAGAAATAGAACAGGGATCTAGCATTGGTTGGCGATGCTTGTCCTGCAATGAGAGAATAGACATGAAAGAGCTTTGTAACTCAAAACTGCCACATTCAGGCATTATCACTAGCATGATTATGATTCCAAATGGGTGGAATATATAGACAGTGACTTTCCTTTTGTTCTGAGTATCGAGTTTTGTAGTAACCACACTCTGCCTTGCCTGGGCAAAATGGACTAGGGAGCTATTTCATTCTCACAAAGAGGAAGAGTCTGAGTGGGCCAGTCCCATGAATACCAGTTCTGAACTGAGCTCAAGTACAAGAGCCATCTGACAGGGGCATTGGGCTTTATGCCCTGTTCCCAGATGTCCAGGCCTCTATCAGATGGCCGGACCCCCATGATAAAGGAAGAGGGTCCCTGGGGTGGGACGCCACCACCCCCTCTTAGCATAGGACTGACTATGGTTTCTCTCTCTCACCAGTGACTGCCTGGCCCTGCTGCAGGTCCGTGCTATCCTGCACCATTTGGGGCTGGAGAGCACCTGTGATGATAGCATCATTGTCAAGGAAGTGTGCACTGTGGTGGCACGCCGGGCAGCCCAGCTCTGTGGTGCAGGCATGGCTGCTGTGGTGGACAAAATACGAGAAAACCGTGGACTGGACACCCTCAAAGTGACAGTGGGTGTGGATGGAACCCTCTATAAGTTACATCCTCAGTGAGTGCCTGGCCTCTGCCCTCCCTGTCCATCTTCCTTCCTGTTGCTTCACTCTTTCCTTGCTTCCCTTCTCTTTTTTTAATTTCATAGCAAATTACTAGGCATTTCAAAGAGCATATGTAATGTATATATTATAACTGAAAGATCAATAATCAAAAGTAGACCTGCCATTGTGAAAATAGGCACTTCAGTCCCAGGTGAGGGTTCAGAGCAGGCAGAAGTCCAACCAGCAGCACCAGGATTTGGTCTAAGAAGTCTCAGCCCTAGGCTTTGCAGAAGATAAAAACCTGCTGTGCTGGGTCCAGTGATGATGTTTTTTTCTTATTCCACATTGAAGGGATCTGTGATCATTATAACGTTGCCCTGTGATAGATAACCCCCTTAGTTGTCTCCTTTTATCTGTTAGTGGTATTTTGGATTAGCTGGGTGTCCGAGGTGAGTCAGTAACCCTCGGAAATACATGTGGAGCTTGCATTTACTTACAGAGTCTGTGAGCTCGTTATACACTGTTGCAGGGCATACTTGATGCTCCACCTTCTTTTTCTCTGACTAATTTTTAAGAACACCACTTAGAACTTCAGACATCTGAGGCTGAATCCCAGAGTTGTTTGTTTTCCCACTCACTCTCTATAATGTAGAATTTGGGCATGTTCCTAGTCTCTCCAAATTTCCTGATACTTGACACATCGTGTCTCATACCTGGTGGCCTTCATCCTCTGCCTCACCTTATCCATTCCTGGGTTTATAGCATCACTTCTTAGGGTCTTATCTTTAAAGGTGCATATCAATCCTGACTAAACTGTTTTTCCCCCTGTGTCTTCCTCTCAACTTTTCCAGCTTTGCTAAAGTCATGCATGAGACCGTGAAAGACCTGGCTCCAAAATGTGATGTGTCCTTCCTGGAGTCAGAGGACGGCAGTGGGAAGGGGGCTGCTCTCATCACTGCTGTGGCCTGCCGCATCCGAGAGGCTGGACAGCGATAGAGTTCCAGAAATTGGAAGAGACTTCCTCTGGCCCCCCTCCTCCCACTTTAAATTATAAGATGCCATCCCTTGTGTCAGAGACAGACCCCTCGAGTTTTCCTTGGCAAGAGGACCCCGTGGAACTGGGCTTCATCTCTGTATACACTCACTGTAGAGTTCAGTGCGCAAGGCTTGACACTCCTGAGATCAATGCAATTTGAAGTAGGGATTTGTTCACACCACAGCCATTCCCACTGGTTCGCTTAAAACTTAAACTGTAACCCTTAGTAATCCTCTTGCCAAGTTCCTGTGTAATCTTGTATAAGCGAACAGGATGGGGTCACTAGTGAAAAAGGAACGGTTGCTTCACCTTGGAGCCAAAATGACATTTCTAGGTGGAGAGCATCCCCTATCTTGAAGGTTGCTGTTTCTCCTACCTGGAGATCTAGAAGGTCTCCATTAATTTGAGCCTGATCCTCCCACAGGCAGAACTTGGGGGGAACAGGGGTGGCAGGGCACAGCAACCCCTCTTCAACCTCATCATCAAGGATTTGCCCAGCAGGTTCCAGCAGCTGCTGTTCTTGGAATCAAAGCAACCTGGGTCTGAGCAAGCGAACCAAAGCCAAGAGCTGATCCATCCTACTGGTGGGCTTATTGTTGATCTCCTTGTGGGTTCATGAATCATCCATGAGCAGTGGGACTTTGGGGGGGAGGGGGCTTTTTGGTCTGTTTTTAAATTGTTTTCTGCAGAAATGGAAACACTGTATTTTCATTTTAATTTATGTTTGAAGTTTGTTTAGCCCGTGACACATCACTTCTTCATCTTGACACTGTATGTAATAGTCAGTTGTACGTAATATATTTATATGTCAGGTTGATTATGTATATAGATACACAGGGTCTGCTCAGACTCAGCCTCATCCATAGGTGTAGATCTGTAGAATTAAAGGGTGGAAGGTAGAGAAACTGACTGGTTACTAGAAATACCTCATTCGCCTTTGGGAAGAGAAGGGAAGCCTCTTCAGGGTGAGTGATGAGAGAGCAGCTCCTTCCTGGCTCCTGTTCCTGCAGACTCAGAAGGAGAAAGGCATGTGGGAGTGGGGACAGAATGGAGTTGCTGGGCCAGTGGATTGAAGAAACCACAGCAACTAGCTGCTCTGTCTAAAGACTTTCCTGGAGCAATATTACATGGATGTTAACCAAAGGAAGCGGGAATCATTTCAAATGGACTCATTGTTTAGAAATCTTCCTTAGGGTGGTCAGTAGTATTTTCAAGCTCTCTAGCAAGATAAAGGAAGCCACCAAAAACATATTTTGAAAATTGCGTGTAACTGTTGACAACAAACCAAAACAAGACAATGAAACAATCAAACAACCTCAGGGACAATACTTTTGGTAGTTCTGTGCCCTCCCAGCAAATTATACTGTGAGTTTGTTTTGTAAATGTTCTAGGAGAACAGTTTTTAAGGACTTCCCTGGGCTGAACAGTTTTTATATGCAGTATTTATTTCAAATTGCTGGGGGTAGGGGTGGGAATGGCATATGGAAAAATTTCCATGCTCTACTTTTAAGAGTGTGGTTAATTCTAGATATGAAAGCCCACTTCTGCACAGCAACATACAGTAAGCCTGAAAACTACATGGTAAAGTGCTGATGGCCTTGTAACACTATTTAGGATACAAGGATCAAAACTAAGATGGAAATACACAAGTCAGTAGTACCCCCCCCTTTTTTTTTTTTTTTGCACATTTATCAAATCTGTACTGAGAACTGTGTCAGGTTTGTATATGACTAAAGGATGGCCAAGAAATAGAGATGAGTTTTAACTTTTAAACTTGAAAATTAGGCACTGTCTATGAAATTGTACATTTTTTAAAAAAGAGTTCTGTATGGCTATTCAAGATGTGTGTTGGTTTCTAAAAAGGAACATGGACTGCATAGTGCATTTTGAATGCTTGTGTTCCCACAATTAGGTGACAATTACTTACTGATGCTGCTTTGCCTGATGTAAATACAATGAATCTTAATCTTTGACTGGGGTGTGTTGGATAGTGGGTCATCTCAAATTCTTGAGCACTCAGTCTAGTGAAGATGTGGAAGATATCTAAGTAGAATTGACTGTGATGTTAATTATTAATAAATCTTAACATTTTTCGAAATATCCAATGTGTGGTTCATGAGTTTTCAAGAGTGGAGTCATCTTTTGGGACATTAATGCCTCCTGGCCACCACTGACCTCTCCCTACATACCTTTCCTTTTTCTCCCTAATAAGCAAAATGCAAACTTGGGAAATACATTTCTTATGCTCTTGATGATATCTTGAAACACTGACATGGCTTTGCTTAATGCCACTGAGGGGTAAGAAGTCAACTTACCCCTCAACTAAGTCCAAAAGACAACAGTGAATGCCAAAACACAATTTTCACCCTCACTAGTGAAGGAAAAGAAATTAAAATTAGACCCTAGTTCTCTGCAGTATGTCCCCATGGAACCTATAGCATCTGGCAAAGGAGCCAGGCAAGTGTACTTGCGATACAGAGCAGGTGGGGCTTGGAGCTGAGCACTAAGGAACAGGCACATACCCAACAAAACCATGAGTGTTAGAGATGAATATTTACTATCTCAGAAAATGTTGACTGTTGCTTCATGCCAAAAGTTTTCATACAGAACAGTTTATGGTGACTGAATTTGTTGAAATTATTCTATGACATTCAAGGTATAATGTATTACCAGAATGTCTCCTCTGCCTCACTGTACTCTGTAGAGGCCACAGTCCCATTCCTCAACAGCACCTCGGATTACACCCTCACCCTCTTGGTGGCACCCTAAGTAGAGGCACCAGGCCAGGATCTGGAGGAGGCCATGTGGTTGGCCTGCCCGTCTAGCCAGGCTGCTGTTTCCACTGTTAGGTATCACTAGCCCTCCATAATTCACAACTGGAAAACAAACATCTTGGGTACTTTTCTAAAGTACAGATTTCTACCGAGTCATCTGGCTGCTTGACAAAACCTAACATAACCCTAACACAAAACGGACTTGTCTTTATCTCTTGTTTAGTCAAACTGCACTGGCAGCTGACATTCCCAGTTTAGCTCCATTTGCATTTATAGTGAGGGGGCAGTGATTCCAAATACATCTCCAGTCAATTTGTGAATGAACTATCCGGACATGATACTACGCAGCTGATCAGATCCACCCTGTTGGACCTGACAGCCATCACACTGAAACTGGTAGATAGCAGAGGCCTGAAATACTTGGTAGAAGAACTTGACCAAATAGTGCCCTCAGGGCTCTTGAGCAGAGTTTAGCCACTGAGTTGGTCCAGCAGGGAGTCCTGTGGAAGAGGCTCCCGAGGCCGGGTGGTGCAGCACAGTCCAGCCGCCTAGGCGGCTGCGGGGCTCAGCACTGGGTGGGGGAGGGGGCGCGGAGCCCTTGGCCCAGGTGTGCGCTCTCACGTGCCCCGCGCGGCGTGTGGGCTCCAGCTCCAGCTCAAGGGTCCCTCCGCTCAAGTCTCTAGTGCACCGTGGGGCCCCCCGCCAGCGCGGCACCATCGAGGTCCTCTCCCAGGGAGGGAAACAGGTCCTGCCGTGGCAGCAGAAACCCCATAGGAAGCGCGTCGGAGGCCCCCATATGTGGTTGGCAGAACAACATCCTCCACAGTGCCACAGTCGGAGCGTTCTGGGAACTCTGTCTTCATCTCCCTCTCTGGCAGAACGCCTCGAACGGACCCCCAGCTTCTGCACCACCCACTGCTTCTGAACGCCTCTTTGTCTCAGAGCAAAACTCTGAGCAGCCAGCCACCCCCGCGAAAAGCGCTGCCACACGGGCGCCGCCATCTTGTTGGCGCTCGAAGGGAACCGCTGCACTTTGGACCTTTCTAGCCGGAGCCCGCACACGGTCTTCTGTCAATTTTAGTTTGACCTCTGAGGGTGAATGTGAAACCCTTTGGGAGTTCACCTTCCCATATTTTATCAGGTAAGGCCCGGTTTTCTTTTCTCGTTTACGTCGCTGTGAGCCTTCGGTCACGGCTTTCCTGCTCCAGTCGCTCGCGAGCGTCTCCTTCCCGCGGTTCACCCGGCTCCTGGGCCCAGTAACAGACTTTCCATCACCAACTCTTTCCAAAGTGCCTTAGTATCTAGCAGGGCAAGTCTTCCGCCTTACTTTTTCAAAATTGATTGTACCACTGGCGGTCCTTTATTCTTCGGAGTGAATTTTAGAATATGTTTATTGAGTCTGAAAAAAAAATCACCTTAAAATTTGATTAGAGTTGCAATTTTAGGAGTAGAACCGATCTTTTGCTTATCCCCAAACCACCAGTGTCTGTGTATTCAGATAATCGTTACAGGGCTTCCTCGGAATTTTAGTTTTCTCTATAGCGGGTTTGTGAATTCTTCCTTAAGTTAATCTTCAGATGGTTTATACTTGTGGTCTCTGATTTTTATCATTTTTTTTTCTGGTTGGCTGCTGCAGGTGGAGAGCAGGGTGTTTCTCCCTTACCCTTGGGGCAGTATACGCCTGCCCTGGGAGCTTTCCGAGGCGCTGGGGTTTAGCCCCAGATACCAGTTGTGACAGAATGTCTTCAGAAGTTGCCGATTGTCCCTGGAGATGGTATTGCCACACAGAATGTCAATATATTTTCTGGTAAATCTTCCTTTAGCTCTGGGACAAATTATGTTGGTATATTGTTGGGTTCATTCTGCTGGTTTTTTTCTTTTTTTCATTTTTATTCCTAAGGGAAACGAGCCTTTTTTTTTTTTTCCTCTTTGTGGCAATTTGGATTAGGTTTTGAATCAGGATTTCATTAGCGTCACAAGTAAAGATTGGGCAGTTTTCTCTCCTTTTTCTGGAAACAAATTGTAGTGCCTTTCAAAGGTGGGTAGAACACATGTGTAAAAGCTTCTAGGCCTGGCGTTTTCAAGAGGGAAGCTATGATTACCATTTCAATTCCTTTGATGCTTACTGGTCTAGTCAAGTATTCTATATCCTGTCATTATGTATTCCCTCGAAATTTATCAGAATGTCTAAATTTTCACATTGTTTAGCATACAGTTGTCCATGATATGTTTAAAAATTAAGTCTTGACATTTTCAACACATGCA